CCCTGATCCTTCATGAGGATTGTCAAGAGCAGAGATAAAGCACCAGGAATCTGACTCTCATATCATCTGAATTACTTTTATTAAAAATATCATCCTTCCATTTGCTCTTTTCTTACAAAATACAAGATGTTAAACTATACAGTCATACAGGGTTAATTAATGTGTAGGTACCAGGTGTATGTGGATGGATTGTTGCAGTTGTTCCTGTTAAAGGGGGAAAGGGGCCCGCCCCACCCACAGGTGAGAACAGCAGGGTAGCAACACTCAAGACAGCGATGCCAGGTGCCCCCACCAGGAGAGGGAGACCCTGCTGCAAACAGACACGCAGGAGAGCGATTCCATGGTCCCCCCGCTGTTCTCTTCCTCCTCTCCTGCTTCCTGGGGTTTGACTTCCTGCATCAGCTGGGCAGCAGTATGAACCAGTTATTCTAGAACCTGGGTTCCCTGCTCCACCCTGGCATCTCGTAGGGTCTTCTGTCCAAATAAGAACTCCTGGAGGGCTCTGCTCTGCAAATGCCAGGATGGAAGGTGCTACAGGGAAGCTCATCACTGTAACCCTGGAGTAGAGAGGATGGAGCCAAAGTCACATGCTTCATACATCCCATCTTTCTGTCTTAAATATTGTCCCCTACTGTAGGCTCTGCTGGGGTCATCTTTATTTTTATTTTCTACATGGAAATAGGGTCCCACACAGAGATGAACTGCTCCCAGCTCCCTGAAATAGGATCCTATGGGACCTGAGGCCACCAGGAGTAGAGGCAGTGGGGAATGGATTTGGGCTGTAGGGGATGTTTGTGGTTTGAAGTTAGGGGTGGGGATGGGCTGTGCATAATGGCCAGCAAGTTGAGATGACACTGGCTGATCTGAATCTGGTCACTGTCATTTTCCCCACAGCTTGAGAGAGCCACCTTGTGTGGACCAGCAAGACATGAATTGTCTTGCCTCCCCTTATCTCTCTGTGGACCCCTGGCCTCCTGCCCCAGCCAATCTGCTGATGAGGTCTGTCGCCTCCCTGCATAACACCTGGGGGGATGTAGGGAGAGGTGTCCTTCCACTGATGACCCAGAGCCCCGTCCACATGTCCAGTGTCCAGGGATGTGGATCCCATTTTCCAGACCAAACTTTCTTTTCTGGGAATGACAGGGTTAAAGTGTTTCCCACCCACATCTCTGTTGTTTACCTGCCCTAAAGAGATATCTTGCTCTATTGGTTATTGGTCACATATTCTTTGTTAGAAGATGTGGTAAGTGGATAATAACGTGAATACAATTTTATAAACTATTAAGAAAGCATCGGGGTTAGTTTCTTTCTGAGTCTGGCTATTGCAGCACTGAGGCAGGTGGCAGGTGGGAGAGAAGGGCAGGTGCAGGAGGGCGGGTGGGCGAGGGCTGTGCATCCTCACTCTGTGCTCAGTGAAGTTCCTGCTCTGCTCATTTATTCCCTGTGTGTCTGGCTCCTTCCCTGGGAGGTGGCTCGTACCTGATCTTTCAGGACTGCTGTCACTTCAGGTCGGGGCCTTGCACATCCCCAGCTGAGCCATTGTCTAAATCTATGTAACTGGAGGGCTGAGGATGTAGGTCTCAATCCTGCCCTCAATTCTACCTTTTTGTGTATTTTTGTATGTTGATTAGATCCTTCTTGTCAGGGATGTATATGAATATTTCTTGGAGGAGAGCCACTACCCATCAGCTCTGGCCCAGCTCTGTCACCAGCACTGGGTCGTGTGTCTTGTTTTTTGTCCCCCAAAGAACCAGGGCAGCCTCTGCAAACGGCTGCTTGCGTGCCCCACATAAGTTGTTCCTTCCTTTGCTTTTTCTTCTGCTCTGTTTCCAGAATATTCCTTTTTTTCTTTTACTATAGTTAGTATCATTTTGGAATTAACATAGTGAATAGGTGTGTTAGGACAGTAGGATAAGTAAAGTCTGGTCACTTCTCGTGTGTGAGTGCCTGTGCTCAGTCAGGGTCCTGGTAGAAAAGACATGGTACAGACTGAAGGCAGGAATTACAGAGGGGTGGCAGGGCTAGGAAAACCAGCAGGGCGCTGATCTCCCTGGGGCCATCTGTAGCAGGAATGTGTTTCCAACTCTGAGCTTGAAGTGACAAGGAAGGGCACAGTGCTCAGAGTCAGGGAAGTCTGTGGCTTGGGGCGAGGGGCAGCCCCATGACATGTGGCTGCAGGTGGAGGAATGCAATGATTCCAGAACCCCAGACCTGTCAATAGGGAGTGGGCAAAAGGAACACCCTGAGTTCCTTCTCTCCCCACACCGTCTCCTCCTGCAGGTGCCTGTTCTCCTGCAAACCCCACAGGTGGAGTCCTTCGAGTTCCCATGTCCATCATGACTAGCACTGAGGGACTCGAGCCTCACTGCCCTTGTCCATTTTCCTCTGCTTCCCACAAAGGAATTCAATCTCCTTTTTTCACTTAAAATATGAGAGACCCTTTAGCACAGGCTGAAGCCCATGGTGGGTGCCCATCACCCACTTGCTGGGACTATGACCTTCTCCAGGAGGCCTAGGGGGTGAAAGGAGAGACGGCACATCAGTGGGACGCCCTTGCTCTGTTGTGATGCACCAGGGTGGGAGGGGAGCTCACCCACAGCATCCCGCCTGAGGAATGGGAAGGGGAAGAGGGGCACGTGAACCCACCACAGCGCCAGGGGAGAGGGGAGGGGGACAAAGCCCATGGAAAAGGACAGGCACAGGGTGGCCTCAGCCAAAGCCCCCAGACATTATTACCAGTCCGGGCACACTCAGAGACAACGTGTGGAGGTGAGTGTTAGCTCTCCACAAGCTCCTGTGTTTCCAGCTAACTGCACTAGGTCACTGCATGAGCTACTTTGATACCCAGGAACCTCTGACCCTGCAACAGTGAGCTCAGAAAAATTTAGTACCAGCTTCTCCACTTCCTTCCAGTGCTGCAGGGATGTGGGAAAATGAGTTTTTCCAGCCACACACCCCGAATAATGGAGCAAGCTCTCTGAAATGCATCCTTGCAGAGTACCCAGGCCCACCCACGTGGACATGGCATGGGGGTCATGGCCATGGCAGAGTGGGACTCATATTTGAGAGTGGCCACAGATCCATGGCACAGCCTTTTATTCAGTCTCTGTGGGATCCTGACCAAGATGCATTCTGCTGTATCCCAAAGCTGTTCACGTAGCTCTTTGGCTCAGAAGAGAAGCACGTAAATGTCATATCTGAAGCCTCGGATTCTCTCATACTGAGAGAATTTTTACTAAGGCAACACTGCATCAGTGGAGCAAACCTAGTGGTATCAGTCCATCTCATCCAAGTTCATGTTCATTAGAGCAGGTAAAAACTACACACATGGGGAATTCTGGCTGGGCTCTGAGGGCAGTGGGCAGGTGTTCACTAGGAAGGGCAGGTGGAGACTCAGATGGATGCCTGGAGATGGCTTTTACCCTGTAGAGCCCTCCCTCTCCCTATCACCTCACACACTCTCACACACACACACACACACACACACACACACACACACACACACACACTCACACACACACACACGTGGTGATCTTTGTGAAGTCTGTACAGCGGTGCATCGCCCTGGCCCAGCTCCTGGTGGAGCAGAACTTCCCAGCCACTGCCATCCACCGTGGGATGCCCCAGGAGCAGAGGTGAGCTGGAGATGGGGACGATGTTTTGTGTCCTTGGGAGGAAAAGAGACACTTCTCTAACTTCCTTTCTCACAAAGGCTTTCTCAGTATCAGGAGCTTAAAGATTTCCAACGACGAATTCTTGTGGCTACCAATGTATGTGTCCAAGGCATGGACATCGAGCGGGTGAACATTGCCTTTAACCACGACATGCCCGAGGATTCTGACACCTACCTGCATCGGGTAAGCCCCACACCCAGAAGGACATCCACTCTCCACCCCTTATTTCCTGTATCTTTTCATACCTTACATCTTCATCCCTGCCTCTGGGTGTCTTTCCTCCTTGGGGTCTGCCAGTCCTACCCTCTGTCTCCCTCCAGGTGACCAGAGCAGGCCAGTTTGGCACCACCGTGGCCATCACATTTGTGACAGATTATAATGATGCCAAGATCCTCAGTGACGTGCGGGATCACTTTGAGGTCAATATTAGCGAGCTGCCTGATGAGACAGACATCTCCTCCTACAGTGAGTGTTGATTTCCCCAGTTCTTTGGATTGTCCTTGTTCTTAGCGTAGTTTTTTTCAATCCCACTGTGTACGGAGAGTGCCTGATGCTTGGTGGGCATTGACCCGCTCATGCTCCTGGTCTTTGATGTCATGTTGGGTTGTGTTGATGGCCTCCGTGTGGGGTCTCTTTCTTCTCATCAGATTATTTCTCTTTCCCACCCCCAAGTCTCTCTTCTGAACCCACACGGAACATGAACGTCTGCATGTGTGAGTGCGTGAGTTTCTGTGTTGGTTTTGCCTTTTTCCGCCTTATTCTGACTGTGCCGTGTTTTCTCTTCAGCTGAACAGACACGGTAGAGGACTCGCCCATTCTGGAATGTGATGATCTGCTCCTCTTCAGGAGAGGACACCAGCATCGGGGGGAAGGAGACACTCCTGCCACCTCCCCCTGCCACCCCCACCCCATGGCTCCCTCTTTTGTGTCATCACCTTCGTAAACCCCATTCCTGATTTGTCTGAAGTTTTAACAAAACTAAAAATGAAACACGTGTCTGGTGTGTATAAGTGCTCCGTCACTTTACTGGATGTGAGGCTGTGTTAGGGCATGAAGCAGGGTAAGTTCCTGTGAGGCCTGTGTCCCCTGCTGTGGAGCTGGGATCAATGGGTGGGCTCAAAGTGGGGGGTGGGATTAAGCCACTGCAGAGACCATGGCTCCCCCACCACCTCCCAGTTTCCGGTCCTTCCTGGGGGTCTCTTCCATTTTCTCAGTGGCCTGGGAGGGGCTGGGAAGTTTCTGATCAAAGGGCTGCTGGAGGTGGGGGTGTTGAAGGGTGGGCAGTATTTCTAGTTCTGGAGGGTGACGTGGGAACTGGTGGGAAGCTTAAGTGGCTCCTCCCGGGCTCTCTCGGTGTCTCCTCATCTGCTCCTTCAGCTTCTGGATCTTGAGCCCCAGGTCCTGGGCCTCCCAGGCAGCCCCTGCCCTTCCTGCAGAGCCTGGTATAGCCCCTGCTGCTGCTCCAGCAGCTCCTCAGCTTGGGCCAGCTCAGCTGTGCGGTGGGGCTGGGGCCCTGGGTGAGGCCCTGGTGGGAAGCATAAGCCAGGATGGGGTGAGGCCTTTGTTAGCTGTGTTGCAGGGTCTGCCTGGAGGTGAGGATCCAGCCTCCCTTTCCCTTTTTCAGCTCCATTACTTCAGGGTCATCTGTGCTGAGAAGCCAAGCTAGCGCTCTGTCTTAGGCATAGGCCTCTGGGGCGCAGATAGAGGTCACCTGCTAGGGGCTATCCCTGGGATTCTTGAACTAGGATATGGGATCATGGGAGAGAGGACTGTCTTTCCCTCCCTTCTAAGAAATAAGTAACTGATAGATGAGAGGGAATTCCTATTCAGGGACTTTGTGGACTCTGCTACTGTGGAGGAAGGGGGTGTAGGGAGAGGGAGCCCTGAGGTCTGCATGGGGTGGGACTGTGCAAGAGCTGGGAGTGAGAGCTGGAACTGGGCACGGATCTGCAGGGTGACAAGCTGCAGGGTGGGATTGAAGGGATTTCCCCCCACTCCAGTACAAGTCCCCTTCACTCTCTTCACCCTCTCCCCAGGCGCCACTACCCTGCGTGGTGACCTCATCTTCCCACTGCACGTAGAGCTGGACTGCTCTTCTGTGCTTGCCTTGGGGTTCCGGGAATAGCACCCCCAGGAGCCCTGCGGTGCCAGGGGCCAGGAGGCCAGGAAGAGGCAAAGACAACAGCACTGAGAGCCCGGGCAGAGGGAGGAGCATGGCAGGTAGACAGGGAGCTGTGTGATCTGCCAGCAGCTGCCAGGAACTTGTTCCCTCCAGTCTTGGCCCCACTTTAGTGCCTGGCCCTGGCCAGAACCCCACTCCTGTCCTGCTCTGCTGCCTCCACCTCCTGCCCAACCTGGCCCAGACACAGTCCAGGAACAACTCTTGCTCTTGATGGGAGAAATGTTCCTCCAGTTTAGACAAAACTCACTGTAGATCACTGGTGTCCATTCTTTCACTGGTCCTGTGTGTGCTTAATACTATGTCTTTTCTTTTTTATTCTCCTCAATGCTGCAAGGTAGGAATTACATCCCTGGTTTGAAGATGAGAGTCTTGTCTTCTGCCAGGGACAAACAAGGGAAGCATCACACACAAGGGCAAGGGGCTGCAGCCACCTGAGGCTACTGTGCTGATGGCACCATCAATATTGCACCCTACCAAGTGGATGGGCAGGACCAGGGTGACCGACATGAGTCACTGTAGACTTCATGTGAATCACTGATGGAGATGGGGACTTAGGGTTACTGAAGTCCTCCCTTGATTCCTGAAGTTACACTAACGTGAGAGCTTACTGAGTGTCAGAGAACCTGCTGGGCACTTTTCATTCCTGTCACAGGTGAACTTCACAGTGACCTTTCAACATTCTCATTTCATTTTTCTTGCATGTGGATGTCCAATTGTTCCAGCACCATTGGCTCCTCTGTATTGTCTTTGTTCCTTTGTCTGTGTTGGTGTGGGTCTGTGTCTGGCTCTCTGTTCTGTTTCATGACATTTCATCTGTTCTTTCACCAGCATCATATTGTCTTAAGTATATAGCTTTACAGTAAATCTTGAAGTCATTTAGTGTTAGTCCTCTGACTTCTTTTTCTATATTGTGGTAACTGTTCTGGGTCTTTTGCCTCTTCATATAAACTTTAGAATGAGTTTATTGATATGCACATAATAACTTACTGGGATTTTGATTGAGTTGCATTGACTCTATAGACAAGTTGGGAAGAACCAACAGGTTCACAATATTGAGTCTTCCTATTCATGAACATAAAATATTTTCCATTGATTTAGTTCTTTGATATCTTTTACCAGAGTTTTGTTGTTTTCCTCATACAGATCTTGCACATATTTTTTTAGATTTATATTTAAATATTTCATTTTGCGGAGTGCTGATGTAAATGGTATAGTGCATTAAATTTCACATTCCAGTTGTTCATTACTGGTATAAGAAGGTCATCAACTTTTGCATATTAACCTTATATGTTGCAATCTTGCTATGATTGCTTAGTTTTTTCCTTTTTCTTTTTTGGTGGCTCACCAGCACAGGGATTGAACCCTGGACATTGGTGTTATCAGCACCATGCTCTAATTGACTGTGCTAACTGGCCAGCCCTATAACTGCTTATTTTTTTGTTGATTCTTTCTCATTTTCAACATAGACAGTCATGTCACGTATGAACAAAGAGAGCTTTATTTCTTCTTTCCCAATGTGAATATCTTTTATTTCCTTTTCTAGTCTTATTGCATTAGCTAGGACTTCCGGTAGGATGTTGAAAAGGGAGAGGATGGAGGACATCCTTGCTTTTTCCTGATCTTGGCTGGCAGGTTCAGGTTTCTCGCCATTAAATGTGAAGTTAGCTGTGGGGTTTTTGTAGATATCCTTTAGCAAATTGAGGAAGTGCCCCTCTATTTCTAGTTTGCTAAGAATTTTTTTCATGAATGGATGTTGGATTTTCTCAAATGTTTTTTCTGCCTCTATTCATATAGCCATGTGAACTTTCTTTTTTAGCATGTTGATATGACGAATTACATTAATTGAGTTTCAAATGTTGAACCTGCCTCACATAGCTGGGATTAATCTCATGTGGGTGTAGTGTGTTGTTCTTTTGTACATTGAGGACTTGATTTGCTACTATTTTATTGATGATTTTTCCTTCTATGTTCGTGAGCAATATTGGTTTGTAGTTTTCTTTTCCTGTATTGTCCTTGCCTGGTTTTGGTATTAGGGTAGAGCTGACCTCATGGAGTGGGTTAGGTACTATTCCCTCTGCATTCGTTTTCTGAAAGAGGTGATTGCTTTCTTAAAGGTTTGGTGGAATTCATCAGTGAACCCATATGTGCCTGGTCCTTTCTCTTTTGGAATGTTATTAATTATTGGCTAAATTTCTTTAACAGATTGTCTATTTCACTTCACTACTTTTTTTTTTTTTTTTCCATGTCCGGCAACGGATTGCAACCCTCAGTGTCGCCCCCGTACCGGACCGGGACCGGCAACGGGATCGCAACCCTTGGTGCTGCCCCCGCGCCTCGCTCAGCCAGTGAGCGGGAACCGGTCCATATGTGGGATCCGAACCCTCGGCGGGAGCGCCGCCGCGCTTCCCAAGCGGCGCACTAGTGCAGTGCGCCACCGGGCAAGCCCGACTTCACTACTTTTTAATTAAAAAACGTTTTTTGGAATAACATAAGATTTACAGAAAAGTTGTAGAGCTAGAACACAGAGTTCCTGTATACCCTTTAACAAGCTTCCCTTAATGTTAACATTTTTTAAAAATCATGTTAAAGCGAAGTATCTAAGACATTAACATTGGTACAATGCTATTAGCTAGAATATAGACTTTATTTAAATTTCACAAATATTTCTGCAGTGGCCTTTTTCTGTTCCAGAATCCAATCCAGAGTACCCTAATGCAGTTAGTTGTCATGTCTTTTCTGATCTGTGAGTTTCTCTTGACTTCTCTGTTTAGGAGGGAATGGAGTGGCCTTGAGTACAGGGGTAGAAAGTAGGGCAGGGTCTGGATAAGATGCCCCCACCTTCATCCCTGGTCCTCTGACAACACCTCACTGCAGTCACACTGAGGGGCCCCTCAAGGTCCAGTTGCTCCACCAGGCAGGTGTATCTCAGCTCCTGTCCAGGGAGCACTCTCACAGCTGCCCAGCTCTGGTTTGTCTTGTCCCCTCCCCCCTCCCATTCTGGGTCCCCCTGAGTACTGAGCTCAAGGTCAGCTCCTTGCCTTCCTGCAGACAGGTCAGAGTGATCTTTCACAGAGTATGGTTGTCCTCAGGGTCCTCCTTATCAGTGACCACAGCCCTGGAGGTCACTGATTACAGGAGAGAGAGCAGAGAGATGGAGTGAAGGGGACACATCTCAGTTTCCTCCCTCCTCGCAGGGTCTTTCTGCACACACCAGGGCCTTCCCCTCCCCCAATCCCAGGGAATCTCACAGCCTGGGCAGGAGGAGGGGATCTAGGTCCCCACACCTCCCTACTAAAGTCTTTCCATAAGTGTGTCCACCATTCCTGCTGCAGCTTTAATGCTTGCCCCATGCAGAGCCCTGGGTTTTAGGGCTTCAGCATATGACTAGGGCACACAATTCAGTCCTTAACAGGGCCTTCTGTGATATGTGTGTGTTTGGTGCCCACCAGTTAGCCCTGGTTTCTTGAGCTCTCAACAAGCACAATCTCAGTGCACCCCAAACTCATGGTCTAGCCACACAAGCACCACATACAGGTGACCACCTCTGCTGTCACTTGCTGAGGTCATGGGTGGCTGCTGCCCAGATCTCAGCTTTGGCTCAGCTGCAGCCTGGGGGGCCCTGGGGAACTCTTTACTGCCATCTAGACACCCAAAGTCGTGGGACAGTCATCAGGACAGACTTGAGATTTGAGTTCGGGCCTACAGATCTCGTAACTTCGGGGCTTCAAGATGGCAGAGAAGGGGACATATAGGGTCCTGTGTGAGGATGCACATGCTCAGGTCACCTGAGGGAAAGAGAGAGGTCCTTGGGCTGTGAGCTGTGGAACGGCAGGGGCCACTCCTGGAAACTGGGAAACGGGTAGTCAGTTGCCTGGGTCTACCTCTGAGGTCCTTGTAGTTCAGGATGGTGTCCATCCCCCACTGCACATCCAGTGTACAGTCGTAAGAGACCCATTGGCCTGGCCAGAGCCTCTGGTCATCTCAGGGGAGGAAAGGGCACCTGAATGCTGTGGCAGCAGCTGCTTGGGGCATGAAGTCCTAGCACAGGGAGTGGGACCCTGAAAACCCTGGGAATCTGGGACCAGGCCTGGTCCCTACAGGGGTGGCACAGACACTTGCCCTTGGCTTTCTATGGCCCAGGACCCAGCAAACCCTAGGCCAGCCTCTCTACGCCGCTCTCCTCCTGGGCTCCTTCCTCTTACCTTGTTGTACCTCTACTCCGCTGATGTCCCTACTTCAGCCATATTCTTACTTCCTCAGTAGCCTCTTCCCTTCCTTGACCTATCACCCCAGGGCTCTCCTACCCCCACCCAAATCCCAGGGTCAGACCACAGGACTGAGTCCCAGGTGGGGGGACCTCCATCTCCAGCGTCAGAAGCAGGAAAAAGCGACAGAGACTCTGGATTCCAAGTTCCCGTTCCAGGTGAATGAAAGACAGTATGTTTGAGGTCCACTCGGGACCTGGGAACCAGTTGGTATAGCCTGAACACCTGGATCCTCCCTGAGGCAGAGTCCACCCTCACTCGAGGTGAAGGAAACATCTATGTCAACCTCGATCTTGGGAGACACTTCAGATCCTGAATCTGACATGGGATGGTGTCGCCCTTTTGTGTGCACAGCTCTATCCTGCCACTGGGAGCCCAGGCAGGTGAGGAGGAGAAAGGGGAGCTCGGTGCTTCTGCGCTCAGCCCTGTGGCCACACGGGGGCGCCGCCGCGCTGCTCTCGGGTTCTGATGAGCAGCGCGGGAAGAGTGTGCTGTAAGTCAGGCAGAGATAGTCGTCCCTGGAGCTGGACGTCACCAGGGGATGAAGAAGCCTCTGAGCAACCCTAGACTCCACAGGGCTCCTGGTGGGAACACCATGGAAAACTGAAAAGCAGAACCTTTTCCCTGAACTCCCTATTTCTTTTCATGGTCCTTCTTGGTGTGGCAACGATAACAACATTTGTATGACTTTCTGTCAGGAAGGATACATGAGACGTTGGTAACATGGTCATCTCTGGCAGGGGACCTGGGCACCTGGGGTCTGGGAAGGAGGAAAATTTCCCCCGTATTCCCTTTGGAATGTCTTGAGTATCTTTTCAAGGATGGCTGGTTAGCTCAGTTGGTTAGAGCGCAGCCTTATAATGTTAGGCAGTTAGTCATGAGCAGGTGGGGGGGATGGAAAACTAACTTTGCCCATGATTCTGCCCAGACCCACCCATTTGAGGGCAACAAAAACGGAAGAAAGGTCCCACAGTCTAACCATGTAACCACAAGGAGCTTGCCAGGGACTTTCCGGATAAAGAGATGTGTGCAGAAAGAACATTTTGAGAACTTAAGTAACCTTGGGACACGCTAATGATTATTGTCTTTAAATACATATGCAGTCCATAAATACATATCATTACAACGGGCTGAATGATGGGTAGGAGCATGCACACTATACAAAGATTATATAACCATGAATGTCAATCAAAGGTGTCAATTGAGCTTACAAATGCATATACAAAATTAGTAGAATAAAACAGATATGGATTTGCATGTAAGGGACACTCACTGCTCAAGGGAATGGTCCACTTCTCTCTTGAAGTGTTTCTTCCTTCCTATATTTCCTATACTCATTAAAGCTTTGCTATTTTTGTTAATTTGGGTTTCCAGTTCTTCACTGACCTGAAAAAAGAACCAAGCCTAACAGGACTTTCATCCCCAGTAACAATAACACCCAGGTCACAGGTTCAGATCCACGTACCCAGCCAGCCACAAAACAAAAACAAAACAAAAATCCCTCTCATTGCAGGATCCTTTCCAGTTTCCATCCAGTTTACCCAGATGTGGCCATGGAATGGGTCCAGGCTCCGTCCTCACGGGTTGTTCTTCCATAAATTGGATGGTCCAAGTTATGATCATCTGGGAAAAGGAAGGCCCTCAGGCAGAAAAACCTGCCTCAGAAGGCAGGATTGCTGGAAAGTGGACAGCTGCTAACCAGCGCACTAGTTTAGGGCCATCACTCTGGATTGGGAGGGAGGTTGGCCTCTGCTATGACCTAGGGGGCCAGGAACCAGGCAGGGAGAACTTCCTAGAGGTGAGTGATTCTCAAACATGGGGGATGAAGCACCTTATGATGAGGCCAAAGACCTCATGTTCCCCATTAGATGACTGTTCCCACCTTTCAGTGGAACAAGAACCAAGAACACTTGTAAAAGTTTTAGGGGACAGTGGCTCTCCCTCATGTCTCTTACTGGTAGGATTATGCATGACTCATATTTGAACTGGAGTGTATTGCACAGCTGAGAGTCTGAGTTATCAGTACACAAGGGGCCCAAACTACTGTTATTAAAGGTATGTAAGGCTATCCAGAATAAGGTCACAACCATGACCCACTAACATTGAAGGTCAAATAACCACATGGGTAAATTTAAAACAAGGTGAGCACCTATTGAGAGAGAAAAAAGACAACAGCAAATGGGTATTCTTCACGAAACCTAAATGATGTACTAATAACAATCCTTCCTGAAAACTGGACATTACAACCATCTCCGTTTCTGCTGTAGGTTATGAACTCCAAAGTGGATTAACGCCTGATAATTTACAGTAGGTTGCCTTAAAAAATAAGTAAAATACTTAGTGGATTTTGGGTTTTCATCTGTAAGAAGTAAACAAAGTGCTGGGCTTTGGATCATTTCAAATCAGTAGGATGAACTGTGGATCTTATAATCATGGAAATGAAGAAATGGAGATAAATATGCATAAACCAGATTACCTACTTTATGTTCCTGTGTATATTTATCTACTTTTTGTTATTCCTGAGTCTCTAATACACTCTTAGTCAAGAGAATTCTGGTCTAGCCTTTGTAGGAGGGTCCTGTCTTCAGACAGGGACAAACAGGGGGTTACTGGAAGCATCACACACAAGATCAAGGGGCTGCAGAGTCCCTGAGGCTACTGTGCTGATGGTATCTTCAATATTGCACCCTACCATATGGATTGGCAGGACTGGGGTGACTGACATGAATCACTGTGGACTTCATGTGAATTGGTGATGGAGATGTGGACATCGGGTTATTGAAGTCCACCTGTTTCATTAATGTGAGAGCTTACTAAGTGTCAGAGACTCTGATGGGCACTTTTCGATCCTGTCACAGGTGACCTTCACAGAAATGCTTCAACCTTCTCATTTCACTTTTCCTGCATGTGGATGTCCAATACTTCCAGAACCATTGGCTCCTCTGCACTGTCTTTGTTTCTTCATCCGTGTTTATGTGGGTCTGTGTCTGAGCTCTATGTTCTGTTCAATTGATATATTTGTCTATTGTTTCACCAACATCACATTCTCTTGACTATATAGCTTTACAGTAAGTCTTGAAGTTATATACTGTTAGTCCTCTGTCTTTGTTCTTTTTCTATGTTGTGGTGACTTTTCTGGGTGTTTCACCTCTTCATATAAACTTTAGAATCAGTTTATTGATATCCACATAATAACTTGCTAGGATTTTGATTGGGTTGCATTGAATTTGTAGACAAGTTTGGAAGAACTAACAGGTTCATGGTACTGAGTCTTCCTATTCATGTACAGAAAATATTTTCCATGGATTTAGTTCTTCGATATCTTTCACCTGAGATTTGCAGTGTTCCTCATGCAGATCTCACACGTTTTGTTAAATTTATATTTAAATATTTCACTTTTGGGAGTGCTAATGTAAGTGGTGTAGTGCTTTTAATTTCAAATTCGAATTGTTCATTGCTGGTGTATAGGAAGGGCATTGACTTCTGTATATTAATCTTGTACCCTGCACCCTTGCTATCATTGCTTATTTATTTATTGAGTATCTTTTCTTTTTTGGGGTGGATGGGATCAAACCCTGGACCTTGAAGTTTTAGCACCATGCTCTAACCAACTCAGCTAACTGGCTGGTGGGCACATGAATGCAGCAGCCTGGAAGGCAGTGATGAGGCTATGTATGGTACAGCAGCTTTAATCCCACGTACCAAGGCTGATCCTACGACACCTGCCTTTTAATACCTAATGTCTAAGCTTTAAGGATGAATACTGGGCCCTGGTGTAAAGATATTTTTTTAGGTGACCAACTAGCCACGGAGTGATGAGTTAACTACATTGACCCCCTGCCATTCTGGAAGGGCCAGAGGTTATACTCACAGGGATAGGCACCTAACCCATGTGTGAGTTTTTCTTTCCTTCCCTTAGACTCTCAGCCAGCACTTCTGTCCAGGAGCTGTGGACATGCCTGATCCACAAGCCCAGAATTGCTCTTAGAGCACTGACTTGGGGATCCATTTCACAGTGAAGGAAGTGCAGCCTGGGTCATGACCATGAGATCCACTGGTCACATCACAATCTGCACTGCTCAGGGCTTGCTGGTCACAAAGAATGGTGGACAGGCCTTCTAAAGGCACAACTAGAGCACTATCTTTGAGAAAACACTGGAGGGAGGTGGTGCCATCTTTCAGGATTCAGGGAGTTTATTGTATCAACAGACCTCTTTATGCTGCTGTGTTCTCAATAGAAGAACATGGGCTCCAGAGACCAAGGGGTGGAGGTGGGTGTGGCCCCATTTACCACCACTTAGATTCATTCACTGGGGGAGTTTGAACTTCCCTTTTCTGCAACTCTGGGCTCTGCAGGTTAGGGGTTCCAGGTTACTCAAAGAGGGCACTCTTACAACTACATGTTACAGTTGCCACCAGGGAAGTTTGGACAGTATGTGCCCAGAGACCAGCAGGTGAGGAGTCCCCTCCTTTTGAGGCAGGGGTGATGGACCCTGATCTGCAGGAGGAGGCAGGGCTGCTGTCACATGTGGGGGCAGGAGGAGAATGTGTGGAACGGAGTGATCCACATGGAGGCCTCCTGGCTCCCCTTGTCCCATTGTAACTGTGAATGGACACCTGCAGCAACCCAGCCTCAGAAACTTTGATGCCCAAAGGCCCAGACCCCTCAGGAAGGAAGGTTTGGGTCACATCCCCAGGTAATCTATCAAGGTTCCTGCCTCTGTGCCCCAAAATCCACACTGCATTGGTGCAAAGACCATACTTCCTATCTCTTGTTCTCATGAGAGGACTGGTCACAGCAGGGATACCAAGGCAGGCATATTCCTGGGAGAGGTAGTACTCCTCTGGTGGCCAGCTGTGGCTCCATGACTTCTGTAAGGTCTTGCTCAGGTCTCCTTAGATTGTCTGTGGTCTAGGATACATCTGAAAAACCTTCCTCCTCTGTACATCACTTGGGATCAGACCCGCATCTTGGTCTGTTGGCTCTACCTGGGTTTTCTGGCTCCCTCCCCATATTCTCTGAGGGGTGTCTCTCCTAATAAAATGCTGGTGAGTTTAATCCCATCTTGGCATCTGCTTCTTGGAGGATTTGGACTAATAAAATCATTTCCATGTCTATACCAATGACCTGTTACTTATTCCAACTTGTAGAATCCTTCTCTTTAGGCAACTTCTCCACTGACATTAACTCCGTTTTGCTCGGTGTGTATGATCTCCTTGAGTTAAGAGATATTCGCTGTTTTAAGCCACTACATTTTGGGATAGTTTGTTACACAGCAATAGACAACTAATAAAGCCCTCATAAGTTTCTATTATTCTGCAGATATTGTCTACATCTCTCTCATTTCCTTGCCTTTGATAATGTTGCCTATACTTGCTGATTCCAATTTCCTCTTGTTCTCTCTTTCATTTTCTTTTGTCTTTTCTCTTTCCTCCCTTCCTTCTTTCATTCCTTCCTCCTCTCCTTCCTTTTTTTTTCTCTTTTTCTCCCTCTTTTTTCCTTTTCATTATGGAAAATTTCAAATATATAAAACAACACTATGTAGTTATGCTAAAAAGAAACATTATCTGGACCTATATGCTAAAAGTATAATGCCAAGATATATGGAATAATTGTAAAGGAATGAAAGTTATCAATAGAGTTGAAAAAAAAATGCCTGGGTCATTCTGCAGCCACACCAGTGGCTTCCAGTTCTTAATTCCTCCTCTTCAGCTGTGTGTTCAGCTGTGTGTTGTCTTTTCAGAACACATCGGCAGCATGCACTCTCACACATTCCTGGTTAAAGTTTAAATTGGCACAAGTAGTTTGAAAATCAGATTAGCATTATGTAGTGCAGTGGATTGAATATCCCCCCAAACTCATTGAAGCTTGCATTGTGTCTCCCAAGTTTTATGTGTTAGAAACTTGACCCCCACTGTAACTGTGAGGGTGGGAAATCCTATTATTGTAATTGAAAGGTGGGACTTTGAAGAAGTGAGTAGATTGTAGGACCACATGGTAGTGAATGGATTAAAATTGGTAGTCATGGGTGTGGTCTGGAGGGCTTTAAAAGGAGGGTGAATGAGGAGGTTCGTCTCTCTCTCTGCTCTGCCATCTTCTGCCACATGAAGCCACCACCAAGACCCTCACCAGATGTGTTCCCTGGACTTTGGACTCCCCAGCCTATGAAACTGTAAGCAATAAGATTCATTTTCTTCATAAAATACACAATTCTATGTATTCTGTTTTAAGCAACAAAAACAGACTAATACATCTAGTATGGTTAAAATATCTACCACATAACCCAACAATCCTACTCCTGATCATAGACTCAAGGGATATCTTGTCCATGTTTCCAGGAGACATGTACACTAATGTTTATAGTGAAAACTAGTATCAACCACGTATACATCAATAGGAAAGTAGTAAAGTTGTGGTATGATCATAAAACTTCAGCACTGAAAATGAATGAATGATGGCCTCACACATCAAGGATAACTCTCCTACATGTAATATTAAGTCATAGAAGAATATATATAGTATGAATTCACTGTACAGGAAGTTTAAAAACAGGAAAAACTAGCTAACATTTGGTTTGGGGATTGTTAGTTACTGGGAAAAATCACACATTGCCTTTCCTATGATCTTATTCCATATAATCAACACAGAAGACCAACTTCTTCGATGACATGTGTGGGGATTTCTCCTCAAGAGTAAGTAAGCAAGTAATTCTATAGGGGACACCATCTGGGTGTCCTCCAGTTCAATTCCAGTACTACCTACCCACTAGTGTCAGATCTTACAGGTTGAGGGCTCAGTCCCCAAGACTGCCCCCTCCCACTTCTGATGGCAATTTTAAGCTACAGATGGCTTTAGGTTTGCTTCTGACTGGTATAAATTGGCATTCTCACTACCCCCCCCCCCCCTAGGATAACTCTCCTACATGTAATATTAAGTCATAGAAGAATATATATAGTATGAATTCACTGTACAGGAAGTTTAAAAACAGGAAAAACTAGCTAACATTTGGTTTGGGGATTGTTAGTTACTGGGAAAAATCACACATTGCCTTTCCTATGATCTTATTCCATATAATCAACACAGAAGACCAACTTCTTCGATGACATGTGTGGGGATTTCTCCTCAAGAGTAAGTAAGCAAGTAATTCTATAGGGGACACCATCTGGGTGTCCTCCAGTTCAATTCCAGTACTACCTACCCACTAGTGTCAGATCTTACAGGTTGAGGGCTCAGTCCCCAAGACTGCCCCCTCCCACTTCTGATGGCAATTTTAAGCTACAGATGGCTTTAGGTTTGCTTCTGACTGGTATAAATTGGCATTCCCCCCCCCCCCCCCCCCCCTTAGGTCCAGTCGATTTGTTGAGCAGCTCACAAAACTAAGGGAAACACATGCTTAGTTGATTGGTTTATTGCAAAGTATGCAGATGAAGAGATGCAGAGGGAGAGGTATGGGAGAAGGGAAGTGGAGTTTCCATGCCCTCCCAGGGGCACCACCCTCCAGGAATCTCCACATGTTCAGCTATCCAGAAACTCTGGGAACCCAGTCTTTTTAGGTTTTTATGGAGGCTTCATCACATAGGTATGTTTGATCACATCATTGGCCACTGGTGATCAACTCATCCTTCAACCCCTCTCCCCTCCTCGGAGGTGACCAGCCCCCATCCTGAAGCTGCCTAGGGGCTACCAGCCATCAGTCAACTCATCAGCCTACAAAAAGGCAACACTTATCACTTTGGAGATTCTAAGGATTTGAGGAATTGTAAGTCAGGAACCTGGGAGAAAAGCCCAAACATATAGTTTCCCAGTATCCCAGGGATATATACACTTATTGTAAAAATCTTTAGAGAAATGCAAGGAAATATAAACAGAAGACTCAGCTTAGAGGTTACTTCTGAAAGATGGGATTGGGCAGCAGCCCATGGTGGCTTTATAGGTTCTGTTTCTCATGAAGGGATGGGAACCAGGTATTTACTTGATCATAACTTTTTATTTTATTTATTTATTATTATTATTATTTATTTTATTTTATTTATTGAATCAAAATTGATTATACATATTTTTGGGGTTGAACATTGAGATTTGTTGATTAAATCAATATTACTAGCATATATATTGTTACAAATCGTAATTATTCTTTATGCCCCTTGTCCTACCTCTCCTATTCCCCCATTCCCTCCCCCTGTCCTCTCTAATTGCCCTAGATTTCTTTTCTCCTTGTGAAAGAATAATGGTCACTCTGTTAACTTGTTACCTAGATGATCCGTCAAATGCTGAAAGTTGTGATCAGGTCCCCCAATATTATCATAGAGCAGATTCTTCTTCTGTCACTCTGGAATGGGTTTTGTAGAAAGAGACATCCTCTTCTTTTCTTTGTCTCTGCTGGTGACTCTTCTTGTGTGAATGCACTCCAGTGGTTGGCAGACCATCTGCGTGGTGGCTGTGGTATCTAGCCGCTTTTGCAGCAGCCATGGTTATTGTGGGGGCTGTGGTGGGCCACCCATGTGGAGGTGCTGTTTTGGGCATGCTCCTTGGCACTGGCGGTATGCCTGGCTGTGGGGTGTGTTTGGTCCCCTTCTCCATGCCTCTGGTCCCTGGGCAGGCTCCAAGGCACTGGCGCCATGTGCATGGTTGTGGGAGAGGGGTCCAGTTGATCATAACTTTTTAAACCGGCATTTTTCAAACTGCAGCTTGTGACCCATTAATTTTTTTTAAGAAGAAAGAGAAAAGAAAATACCAAAGTTCATTGTAAGGATCTGAAACTGGATAAGCACCTTCCTCCTCAATAAAGCCCCCAAAATTTAGGTGAAAGTGAGCTATGCCCTTGGTCACTCAATGAAAAGTGATCTAGAATCTGGGAACTGAGCTCCCCAAATACCAATTAAGGAAGTGAGCACTAAGAGGCAGCTGAGCAAGTGGGGATGTAACTTAAGCAACAAGGAGAAGCATAAATCAGAGCCGTCACACTTGAAGATCAAAGATAATATCTTGACATGTGTCCTTGAGATGTTTTCACAGCAATTGAGAGCCAAGCTTCCTACCAGATGGAAAATGCTGACCAAACATGGACTGTGAGGACCCCAGACTAATTTGGGTCAGAAGGTTGACAATAAAAGACCATCAGAGGAGCTGTCTCCCTTGGCTTCTGAGATTCAATCAGTCAGAAGCATCCACAAGCTACTCAGGCAGTCCAGACTCCAATCCACACGTTTTTCCTTTGAAAGTCATTGCTTGTAAGTTTTCCAGGAGTTTGGGATTTCCAGAATTAGCTGCCCAATTCTCCATTGCTTTGACATTGCAATTAAATGTTGCATTTCCCTTACTACAACTCAGCATCAGTGTTTTCGGTTAACTGCAAGCTGATCAAGCAGAGACTAGTTTGGTTCAGTAAAAGATCCTTAGCAAGAACTTCTCACGTAGAAACAATGCCACAGCCAGCTGTTATGAGCCATGTAGAGAGAGGACCGGGATATCATAAAAAAATAGCGTTGGCTAAAATAGGTCATTAGCTCTTTTGCTCACCAGTGACTCTACACATTTTCTCACACACAACATTCAATCTGATGTGCAAGTCAATTCTATCTTGCAAAGGATTTGATGTGTTACTTACATTTTCCCACACATACACCTGAATTAAACTTCTACAGAACTGGAAAATCACATTGTTAATCAAAATTAATTAAATGGCAAAACATTGTAAAGGAATACCCAGTGATGGAATAGCACATATTAATATAAAACATAATAGAACAGCTTTTAAAAAACTTTAGAAGCACATAATAAGAGTGCTTTTCAGAATCTTACTGATGTCCAAATCACTTGTACCACATCTCATTCAAAAACACAGTGAAAGATGTAAAATTTATTATAGGATGGCCACTGTATAGCCAGTTCTCGAAAAGCCTTTTCCCTAGACTACAGTTTACCATTTCCGCCTACCACATCACATCAAAATTGTTGTCACGATCCAAACTAGGTGTATAGAACTGAGGTTACCAGAGATGGAAAGGGTGGGGGATAGTAAGGGAGGAATTCATAAAAGGCAACAAAAACCAATTACTGTGTATAGCGTTGAACTTACTAATTATCCTGATTTGAGCATCACATATTGCACACGGGTATTGATATTCATCTCTGTACCCCACAGATATGTACAATCAATGATGTTTCAATTAAAAAATAAAAAATAATAATATAAACTAGTTGTATAGACTGAGATATGATATTCACATTTTTCTAACTGAAACACAATCTGATTAGGTAAATATTTTTAAAGATGAAGTTTGAGTAAGAATACTAGCATTTTGGCATTCTTAAATTAATTTCAAAATTCTTAGGAAAAACAAAAATATTATTTTAATGATGTCATTGTTATGGCACTGAAATACTTGATTTAGCTACCGCACGTTCTCAGCTTTGTTGCAACTTACTGAAGAGAACATTCTTATTAAAAGCATTCACAAGAAAAATTCAGGGATATTGTTATATCTCTTTTCTCTGACTCAAACTTTTAATCATTACTTCCCAAAAGAGAAGATTAAAGCATTATAAAATAATCAGATAAAGAAGCATTTGATTTACCAAATCCTGAAAGAATATAATTAATTTTGGTTTTAACACGTATGTAAATTCTCTGATACTACTCCCTTCCAGAAGTGCAGCTGAATTCCCTCTTTTTGAGTGTGGCTTGGACTTAATGACTGACTCTTCACTGAGAGTAAGGCTGACTTAAAGGTTTGAGACTCTGGATGTAAGATGTAAAGCTGTTCTGGGTTCCGTCTTGGCTCCCTCTCTCTGGGATCACTGCTCTGGGGGAAGCCAGTGGCTGTGTCATAAGCAGCCCTGTGGAACAGCCCATGTAACTAAGAACTGACTCCTCCTGGGACCAGCCCACAAGGAACTGAGGCCTCTTCCTACAGCCATATGAATGAGCCATGTTTCATGTGAAACCCTCCTCAGTCAAGCCCTCAGATGCTGCAGCCTGGCTGATGCCTTGACTGCAACCTGTGACAGGTGCTGAGCCAGAAGCACTCAAGTAAACCTCTCCCAGGACTCCTGATCATTGGAAACTGTGAGAGATAATGTTTGTTTTGAGTTGTTAAAATGTAGATAATCTGTTAAGCAGCAGTAAATAACTAATACAGTTTCCAAAGAGAGCATAAGTTATTGCACTTGAATTGTCATTTGCTCTAAATTAATTATAAAATATTAAACATGTCATTCAGTTTTAAAATTTAAGAATTTCCACGGCTATCAAAAATGTATTTTATTACCATTCATGACAATCTATTCATTTGAACTTCAATTTCCAACTGTGACCCAATTAGACACAAATGAAGACTGAGGCTATGCTAGGCTGATTCTGTGAAAGTCCCCCAGTACCACCCCTGGTTATTCACCTTCTCCCCAGCTATTCAATCAAACTAACCTACTAACGAGTAGGTGCTGTTGTGAAAGAATCTTGCAGACATAATTTAGGTCCCAAATCAGTTCACTTTAAGATTATCCTGAGGGATTATGCTGGGTTGGACTGTCCTAAAAGGGTGAGTTCCTGAAAGGACTGGGTTCTTCTTGAGCAAAGAGATTCAGTGTGAGAGATTCTCTCCATTGTGGGCTGTGAAAATGGAGGGACCATGGGGCAAAGAATGCTGGTGGCCTCTAGGAATTGGGAGCAGCCCCTCCTGCCTCTCCACCCTGACAACTGGAAAGGGAACAGGGACATCAGTCCTACAACAGCAAGAAACTGAATTCTGCCAACTAGCTCTGCATAAGCTCGGAAGAGGACTCCAAGGTCAGGATGAGAACACGGCTCTGGGAAACCCTGAACACAGAATCTATCTAAACCCTGCCTGGATTTCTGATTAAGGAACTGTGAATGAATTGATAGGTGTTGTTTAAACCGCTAAGTCTGTGGTAATTTGTTATGCAGTAATGGGAAATTAATGCACAGGCTCAACAGATACGCACATAATATTTTCTCCACTGGAATGAATTTATGAAGTGGTATGCACACTACTTGCATGAAATGAAATTTTTCCTATTTTTTTTAGTGTTTTTCATTTTATGATTTTTATGTGATGCAATTAGATTTTAATACAATCTTATTTTATCCATTCATTAACTCCACAAAATAATTTATTGACTACTATGTACCAGATGCTGGGGATACAGGTTTGATCAAACAACCCTAAGACCCTGTGCTCATGTGCCTTACATTCTAGAACCATTTACGGGAATAAGGTGGAGCCACGAGAGCATTTTCAGTGAAGAAATGGCACAGTCTGACACATGTTAACAGGATTGCTGACCACTATGGGACTAGTCACGGGTAGGAGGTGAGGGGACAGTACTAGTGCCACAATTCAGGAGTGAGAGGTTGATGGGGACTAAGTTGAGAAGAAGGCCTGAAGGATGAGAGGGACAGAGAGAAGGGCTGCAGAAGCAGGAGGTGAGGAAAAGCAAAGGCAGGCTGGCTGTAGCACAGGCGGTTGGAGCATGCTGTTACAACACCAAGGTCACGGGTTCTGATCATCATACCAGTCAGCCGCCAAAAAATAAAACGCAAATGTAAGGAACTCTAAAGCCAACGAATCTCAGTCTTAAACATACTGTTTTAAAGATTTTTAAACAACTGTATCTAGAGACCCTGGCAGGGTGCTCTTTGCATTTGGCATTTACTACATTTTGCTGGAAGACCTAATAAACAATTGTCTCCTTATGTTAATCAGGTTAAAAAAATAATACCAAGTGTCCCAATAAAATTTGCAAACCACTCAGATGTGATTCATAAAAGCAGGCAGCACATGAGCTCTGGTGAAGGGCACTGCGCCTGCACTGAGCACTTGCAGCTGTGAGGTAATTCAAGTTTGTACACGCTCCTGGTTGAAATGTACAGCTACAAATTGTGCTCATTTGTTCTGAGCATGTGTCCTGGACTCACACAGACAAACTCAGGGCTGTGGAGTGAAGATAATTTTCAAATACAACAATCTGAGTCACAGATACATAGTCTGGAAAAGTAAAACATAGGAACTTGTGAGTCTAACTGCCATGGTGTTTAGACACATTTATGTGCAAAGAGACCACAATCTCTTCTTTCACAGATTAGATTCCTGATCATTCAGGGGTCACCAAGATTGTGCTACCCACTGCAGGTAATAAACAAAAAGGAATCTGGTCTCTACGGAATCTCAGTCTCCTGGATCCAGGCACAACTTGTCCAGGTTTATAGAAAAAAAAAACCCTGTCCCTCTACCTCTATTGCCAGGGCCAGCTCATTCTCAGGCATCAAGTTCCCTGGGGGTGAGTTTTCTTCTAGAAGAGTCCAGGGGGAGAGCTAGGGAGTGGGAGGCAGAGAAGCCAGTTAAGGAAGAGGGATTCTAGGAGAGACGTGAAGGGAAAGGGGCTGCGTCCAGCCTGGGGATCTCTCCCTGCTTTCCTCAGACATTCTCTGCGCCAGGACGCAGGGAGACCATGTGAAGAAGATCACTAGGTGCCCATGAAAAGGGGTCAGGGATAAGTCCCAGGTCCCCAGGCGAGGGTCTCAGGGTCTCAGGCCCGAGGGTGGTTTCTGGCAGGGAAGCCGAGTACTGGGGATCCCCATGTCCCCGGAGTTCCACTTCTCCCTCTCACAACCTGTGTCGGGTTCTTCTGCCCGGACACTCGTGACGCGGCCCCAGTCCTCACTCCCATTGCGTGTCCGGATTCTAGAGAAGCCAATCAGCGTCGCCGCGGTTCCCAGTTATAAAGTCCTCACGGAACAGCAGGGCTCACATTCTCACCAACCCCCGAGAATGGGGGTCATGACTCCCCAAACCCTCCTAATGCTGCTCTCGGGGGCCCTGGTCTTGACCGAGACCCGGGCGGGTGAGTGCGGGGTCGTGAGGGAAACGGCCTCTGCGGGGACAGGAGCGAGGGGACCGCCCGGCGGGGGCGCAGGACCCGGGGAAGCCGCGTCTCCAGTGACCCCGACCAAGACTCTTCCCCGCCTGTCTCAGCCCTTCTCCCA